ACACCATATCATCTGCGTAACTGATGTTGTTGACGCAGACATCGTCTATGTCACAGCCGACTCTGATGCTGTTGAGCTCACCTATCAGCTCATTCACATACAGGTTGAAGAGCGTGGGTGAAAGAAAGGTAGTTTTAACTTGGGAAAATGCGTTCTATCTAAAATTGGTTTATATACATAACATACATAAACACTCACGCCTGTCACCCAGAGGGGTAGGCAGAGATTACGGACTTCCATTTGGCACGATCCTGACATACCTCTTTCGCCTCCTTTACATCCATATATCTACGCATACATGCTCGTCGGTTAAGGGTACTTCTAACGTGGCCCATTTTCAAAATATCGCCAATTTGGTCGACAAACTTTTTTCTAGGGCGTCCCTTCCCGACTCGGCCGTTCACATCTGCCATATAAATTTGCTTTGTCACTCTTTCATCATTCATTCTTTCTACGTGACCAAACCACCGAAGCATTCCTTTCTTAATCCTGGTCATAACATCATCTTGCATACCACATTTATCTCTTATCACGCAATTTCTCACCCTGTCATTCAGATTAAACCCTAGCATATTTCTTAAAGAACGCATTTCTACAGCATTTATTCTACTTTCGTGCTTCTTCTGCCACACCCAGCTTTCACTACCATACATTAACGTAGGGACTAACACAGCATTATGAATTACCATACGTGCCTGTTTTGACACATTCTGGTTCTTCATAATAGAGTGTAGTGCCCCATTCACTCTATTCCCTGCATTTACTCGTCGTTCTATATCCCTATCATATCTACCATCCCTGCTAAATACACATCCCAAATACACAAACTCATCCACTTGCTCAATTAACTCTCCTTCTATTCTTATTTCACATACCGTTTTGCTTTCTTCTCTTTCAAAAACCATCACTTTCGTCTTACTTGCGTTCACTTTCATTCCCCTTTCTTTTAATTCCCAGTTCATTAATGTAACCATCATTTGCAACTCAGCCGCCGATGACGCAAATATGACTTGATCATCGGCATACAAAAGGCATTTGATGGTTAACTCGCCCATTCTTAAACCACATTCTTCATCTTTCAAAGTTTGCAAACACCGGTCCATAAATAGGTTGAACAGCCAAGGGGAAGCTACACAGCCCTGTTTTGGTTTATCTTTAGCATTTATACTGCACGTAGAATGTAACTTGTATGATCCACCCTTGCCATCTTTCTATTGGAAGGTGAGGTCTTTTTGGCTCCCATAGTCGCATCTTATGACACCTACGAGATGAAATCAGGTAGAATTTTAGTGAATTTTTAAAGTTTTTTTTTTCTTCAGAAATAGTTACAGTAAAATTTACCCTTATATCTTGAATGCATTTTATATACATACATTGCACCTGTACAAACATCCAGACCTGGAACAATTATTAGTAGGCCATACAAACACTTTCGTGTGGAATTCGAACCCGCGGTCCTTAAGATATGCGGTTACAAACAATAAAGGCTACCTTATCACCTCCTTTTTTTAAAGAATAAGCTCATTAACGAGTGCACAGTCCAGCTGATGGTAAATGGATGCAATAGGCCATAGACACCTTCATTTATTCTGAATTAAGAATCAAAATGATGATGCGTTTTCACTCATGATGACTAAGATAGAATGCTTCGTTTCCAGTAAAATAGATCTCTGGGTGTCTACACTCACCATACTCACTCATTCGACTGCCTCGTTGGTCTAGTGGTTATAGTAGTGCGACTGCTGATCATGAGGTCCTGGGTTTGTATCCCGGGTCAGGACAAAAAATTAATTCTTGAGTTTTTCTGTCAAGAAATTCTTGACCGGAGTCAGGAAGTTGGCGGTGTCTCACTCCCGTGCCTTGGAAAGCACGTAAAGCCGTTGGTCTTGCGCCTGAAGTCTCTCCGATCGTGTCGGTTTACCTTCCCATCGGATTATGAGAGTGAGGGAATAGAGAGGTGCACCTGTGTTTGCACATACACTTGGGCACTATAATCCTGTCCTGCGTCGATGGCTAGCCTCTGTTTGAGCAGGCCGCCGCACATAGGAGTATTACACATTAAAAACCGGACAAAATTATTTTATATTTTATTTTACTATTTTATGAAATAAAGGTCAATAATTCATCATAGTTAAGCATTTATTTAAAAAGAAAAACAATTAAAAAAGAATTACAAATCTAAGGGGAGTATTTACTCTTAAAACAGGATTTGTTTTCAAGAGGATAATTATGAGGAGACCGAATCAATCAGAATCACTGTCTCCGAGTTCACAGGTGATTTGGTCCTCATAATCTTCGTCATTGGAACTGTCACAATTCAGTGTTTTCGTGAGAAGCATACTAATAGCTTCCTGGGAAAAAGACTTGCTTTTCTTCTTCCGTTTTATTCTGTTACAGCTGATGAAAGGATCGGATGTCAGCAACAACCTATTTAAAATATCTGTGTTGCAGTCCACTCTAGAAAATTTTCTTGCAAAGTCTACGCGATATTTACGGAAATGTTTGTTCCGGGCTTCAGCAGCCTCCTCTGATAGCTGTCCGATAGGTACAATGTGACTTGATATTACTTGAGCGCCATGCATCAGAATCTTGTGAACTGTAGGTGACATGGGATGCCAACCATATAGTTCCACGTACAGTTTGGCAGTTGTGTGAGCAAAGTCATCGAATTTCGCAGGATCAATATCATATCCACTTGATATCACTTCAAGAATGATTTGGAACCTTTTTATCAAATCTATATTTATTCCAGTAATCCGAGATGAGCATTCAGGATTGTCAAAAAATCTTCTCGACGTATTTCCGTCGTTACTATTGCCATAACCGACTTTGGGTATATCAACAAGAAGGCCCATCTCTTCTTTGAAGCTTTTTTGTATTTTCTGTTTTGTTTCTTTCAAAATATTTTTGTCTTCTGCCGTTCGGGCTTGCCACTTCTGTAAGGGCGCTTTATACGCCAGGTGCAACAATAGCTCGAAGAAACGAATTCTTGCGTGCAGAATGGATAGTCCAAATTTCAGAGACTCTTCACAAACATTACCTATTTCAAGTTTATTGAAGTCCTTAGATGTTTGTCCACATATGTAGCATCTCATTGTTGAAGCCGTATCAGTCGCGGCATTACACACCTTTCCATCGACCATTGTGAGCAAAATGTTGTGATTTATTTTAACCGAAACTTCCATACCAGTAGTTTCTTTGAGATTCCTTGCTTGTTCTTCAATATAGGTGATTTCTTCCTTTGTGATATCCTTTGTTTCGTGAATGAACCGAGCCCGGATAGGACGACAGAATCTCACCGAAGAAGGCACTGGATTTTGCCATATAATTTTTCTTGTCTCTCCATTAATAGAAACAATCATTCTCACAGGTACAAGAGAACTTAAAAATATATTGGCATCATCGTCACCAGTATTGGAAAATGTCTGCTTAAACTGTGTCTGATTAGATCCATCACAGCCCCATTTTGATATTAAGGTAAGATGTTGTTTCTCCAACTCTGATAATGTTCCAATCACTTCTTTTAAATACTGAAGTAGTCGCAAAGCCGTGTGGTCCAGCAAAGCTTGAAGTTCCACTTCGAAGCTAGTTTCAGTAACTTTTATGCTATCTTCGGCGGGATAACACTCCTTTTTCGCTTTTTGTAAAAGCGAATAGCAAGGATAAATTTCTTTTCGGCCACCTTGTAATAATTCCCACTGCCCTCTTGTAAAATTACCTTCTACAAATAACGCTAATGCTTCTTGTGGTGTGTATTTTCTCGCAATTGGTACGTTTTTAGCTGACGATATTGCTTTTCGGAACATTTTAGCTCTGGTTGGCGTTGATGTTATTTCTTTCATAATCTTAGACGCATCAATATTTCCCGAAGTACCTTGACTCACTCTTGCAGCGTACGTCAATTCCTCAACAGGTACCCGGTCCCGTAAATCTTGTGTTCTTCGACGCTTGCTTCGATCACACAATTCTCTGAATTCTTTTGTTGGTCGGCCTGCTTTGTGGGTCCAAGTAGGTAGTTCCAGTGATACATTAAGCCATTCCATATTGTTTTTTACGAATCTCTTATCAGTATTACGGGCTGCCGACCATCTTTCTTTGAAACTGGTCTTGAAATATTTTAAATAACGGGTAAGAACCGTTGTTTCTTTGGGTGGACATGAAGTTAGTTGCACAAGTCTTTCTTCCAACAGCGAAAATTTTTCTTCAATCTTCTTTCCTTTAAACTCTTTGATAATAGTATAAAGCTCCATTCTGGAGATTTTTTTTCACTCTTTCCGAAGGATCTATGACAAAAGAAAACAAAAAAATTAGCTTTGTCAATATAATTATAATCTTCCCCATATAGTTTGAAGTGCTATAAAAAATATGGGGTACGTTGTGGGGACTTTTTATTCATGTTTCTACTTCCTTAGAGTCTACATTTTATGCCCACATATAAATTTTGAGGCGACAAGGCGCGACACATAAACAAAAACACTAATTTATTTCAAATTTCTTTAAAAAACCATAAAAAAAGTTCCGCTGTTTATTGATGGCTATACAAGTAGAAATTTGGAAGAAACATAATAAAATATACTTCAGCATATAGTACTAACCTTCTATTTCCATGTCCGAATAGTTAATCTCCTGCTGTTTGCTATACGAAGCCATTTTATCACAGTAAACTGATTAACACAAACGAGAGCGCCGAGAACATAGACACGCGTACACTACGATGACTGGGTTCCGACTGACGCTGTAGCCGCATGCGTGGGAGTTGAGGGTTGGTGGTCTGCCTTTTAATAAGCCGGTTATCGTAGGTAAAGAAAAATGTATTTTGGATGCGGTTGGATTAACATCACTATTTTCAATTTTGCCCCGTTTTTTATGTGTAATACTCCTGTGTGCGCCGTAGCCGAAATTCGGTCTGGAGGACATTATTACTCACTAATTAATCATCTCACCATACTCATTAAACTGCTATATTACGATGGTAATCCGTGAAATTAAATAAATAAAAATTGTTACAGCGTGTTCGTACGTTCACGACTTCACTGGAGGAGTTGGCGGCGCGCGTCCAGGCGGCAGAAGCGGCACGAGCCTCGTGGCGCGCTCCGGGAGATGCCAGAGATGCGCGTGCTCAGTTGGATGCTGTTTCCAGAGCACGTGCTCAACTGCCGCCACTGCGCCGCCTTGCTGACGAGCTTCGCGCTCAAGCTCAGCAACTAGCGAGAGATAACGTCCAGTTACCGGATCACTTGAGAGCGCGACTAGATGACCTTAATTCTAGGTAAGTCTATTAGGTCTTCCTAAGTAGTCTGTCGGTTTTAATTACAAATCATGTAAAAGTAAAAAAGTAAAGTTACAGCCTATATACGTCTCACTGCTGGGCACAAGCCTCCCCTCATTTCTGAGAGGGTTTTAGGGCAAGGAAGAGTCCGCCGCGCTGCCCCAATGCGTGTTGGCGAACTTCACATGTCTTCGGAATATTTTTTTCTTATTCCTCAGACATGCAGGTTTCCTCACGATGTTTTCCTTCACCGCCGAGCACATGGTGAATTAGCACTTAAAATTGCATTTAACAATTTCATTGGTGCCGGCGGGGATCGAACCCGGGTTACTCGCGTTCTGTTATATTTGCAGCGAACGTTAACTATCTGAGCTACCACGGCTCTATCAATCAATCATGTTGACAATCAGAATACCTACGAGAGTTTTTTATTGATATGCTGGCAACCCTATTCTTTATTCTGACATCTGTCGAAAGGTTCGAGGCTTATTAATATTATGACATAACAGTTGGTCAAGTTTTGTCGTTGATTGGTCAGATTGAGACAGGCCAGCCTTTTCGAGTTCTTACCAATAATACCAATATTGGTAAGAACTACACGCTAATGATACCAATATTCCATACATACAATACAATACGCATACAATAATACGATGGATAGTTGACGGCTCTGTGGCGTTTTTTTGTATTTATTTTGTACTAAGTTAGCGCTGAGTGCCGTGGGTTCAAATCCCGCACGGAATTTGTATGGTCTAGAAGTAATTGTTTCGAGTCTGGATATTTGTCCTTGTGCAATTTATGTTTGTGAACTACGTGTTTTTAATAATTAAAAAAAAAACAATCATTTTCTTAAACCACTCTCAGAACTAAATGAATACACCATCCATCAAATGTCGCTACAAAAAGTATTATGTTATAAGGAATACATTCCTTATAACATAATACTTTTATATTGATAGTTAGTAGGATAGTTGAGCGAGCACTTCCTGATGCTCCTTCCATTACGTGCAGAGAGAACAAAGACCTTGGCATACACCAGCCTATGACAACATGACCTGAATATCTAGCAAATGTCAAAACATTGTTATCGCATTCCATTCAGACAGTGTCACACAGTTCACGATTAGGTATATATGACTAGCGACCTGCCCCGACTTCGACTGGAAAGTATCTATTAATGTGGCTTTATATAGATTAAAAATATATTTGGTTTTATACGTGGTAGAAGTATGCTGCAGTTATATTATGGTTGTAGCACGAATAGTTTGGCTCGATCAGGGTAAAACCACGCTCTCACAGAACACTAGTGTAAAAGAGCAGCTTACTGCTGTTTTATATGGTGAGTGTAGAAAACAGGAGACCCTTTTAACTGGAAACGAGTCATTCTATCATAGTCCTCATGGGTGACAAACTATATGCATTTTACTTGTAATCGAGGATACATTTAGATATCAGTGGGCCTACTGCCGAACTAACGTACGTTAAAATGACGAGCAAGCTTGTACATTCAGACCCACTATTAGAAAAATTTACCTTAATATTTTAAATGATAAAAAATGTACCTAATTTTTACTATTTAGGTACATTTTTTATCATTTAGAGTTTTTTTTGACATAGGTAATGTCAAAAAAAACCTCTCTTAGAGCAAAGTAATAAGAAAACATAGCATCCACTTACCATCAGGTCGAATGTGTGCTCGTTTGTTACCCTTATTCTGTAAAAGAAAAAATATAATCAAAGTCCATTTATGTTATCAATTTTTCATTTTTACAAAAACAATCTAGTTTTCCGGATAAAATATTGCCTAGTTCCCTCTTGGCCATGGAGGTAAGAGAACAGGAGAACGGTCGCCGTAGAAAATAGTGTCGCAGAAATATGGACATCATAAGTGAGGCGCTGCGATCGCTAAGTTCGCTCAATAAAAGTCATTTTCAGTCTATTTTTCCCACTAAACCACTTGCACATCCACGCAAAATAAAATATTTCTCAATTATTTAATGTTTCTTTTTGCCAATGCCACGAAGAAAATTTGTACATTATTCAACTAACTTCATCTACTTGTACTCATAAATGGCTAACTTCGCGGTCACTACTCACCGACGTCAGCGCGGCTATAAATTCTACAATTTTCAAGGACAGGCGGGCTATGCTTTAGTACGTAGCGATCGTTCTCCTGTTCTCTAACCTCCATGCTCTTAGGTTGCTCTTTATCCTTTCGTAAAGTTTTGTCACCACCGGTTCACCCATTTTGAAGATTAGCCCGCACATACAGACAGACAAAATTTCAAAAATGACTGTTTATGCCTTAATAGCATGCAAATAACCCCTGAGCTGAATAGGAGCTAGTAATTTTAATATTACAGACAGACATATCAATTTTGTTTATATGTATGTATTGATTACTGTTATTTTCGATCGCGATACTACGGCCATTGTATTTGCTTAATAATAGGTTTAAGATACGAAGCATAGCGCAACCAGGACAAGATAATATTCATAATAGAATAGCAGTAAGAGAATGTTCGCCCAACCGGTGACGAACCAGCTCTCAGAGAATACCAACATAAAATAGCAACTTAATGCTTCTTTGTTTCGTACGGTAAGTATTGAGGGATGACCGGTATGAAGCTGCCACTTGAGAAATCTTTTTCCCCATCGGTTGTCGGTTCTTCGACCTTTATGGCAGACCCTATTAATCCTTTGGGCTATATCAGTTGCTCTAGTTCTACTGAAGATGTACATCTTTATTACATATTAAAAATAGAAATAAATAAAGAAAGAAAATTTATTTCACCACATAAGCACTACGCCATATTGTACGTTGCCGAACGTGACGAAAAGGTTTTTTTTTTAATTTAAATTTCATTACGGCGTTGTTTTTTAGTGTAGCCCGTCTCGTCTCTTTTGAGTAGAGTATTAAGTAGAGAAACTTAAAGAACAGCCTACCCCATAACTAAGTGACCATACCAAACTTGCTCATCAGTATAAGTATCACGTACAGCAGTATAATAGTTATCACTGCCAACACACACTGGTTGTACACAATGGGAGATTAACTTTAATCAATGTTTGACAGAGTGACAGCACTAAACGCTGGTGGAGAAGAACGCGCTCGACAGCTTGCGGGCGTGGCGAGAGATGGGGGCGCAGGCGCCGCCCAGGGCTTCCTCGCCGGCTCTGTACGCCCGCCTTGGGAGCGAGCCGTCACACCTGCTAATGTACCTTATTATATCAAGTAAGTTTTCGGCGTGTTTCTGACGTTGGTACTCCTTTCTTACCCAGGTAGACTTCAAGGTCGAGAAGGATGTACGGTATCTTCTTATTTATTTTTGCCACTCGCATATGAAGGGTTCCGTACCACCGTAAAACACGTATCTAGTAGAGTAGCCCCCTTTAATTATGAATTTATTTTTATTATTTGTTGTTATAGCGGCAACAGAAACATACATTCCGTTAAAATTTCAACTGATCATGAGATACAGCCCCCTAACTGACAGACAGACGGACAGCGAAGGCTTAGTAATAGAGCCCCGTTGGTACGGAACCCTAAGAACTAAAACGAAATTTTGAATATAAGAAATTTTACTGAGAACAAAATTCAACCATAATATTTAAGTTCACGATTATAAACAATAAGTGAAACTATTATAGTTTGATAATTTATCTTCTCGACAAAAGACAAATTATTAAAAAAAAAAACAAGATCAAACCTCGTATATCGTGCATTTCTTGTAACTCTAATTAATATAGAAAACTTGATAATATAATTATATGAATAATTAATGTGTCAAAATCATGAAAAATAAATATGATAGCGTGTATAAAAACAAACAAAATACATAGATAATAATGGTGTTATCAGGATTTCAGATGATTACAACATCAAGGAAAGCTAAATAATTATTTGCCATAACTCCATTTTGAATTATATTTTAAAGTTTATGGAGTTAACGTGGTCAACAAATTCAGTAAAAGTTTAAAAAAGGTTTACGGAAAGAGAACATTTTTATACCCTATGCCACTTTCACATCGAAGACAAATCTAACGACATCCTATATTATATAAAAATCCGTTAAGCCCTTGGGCGTGCCAAACAAATAGACATGAATACATACACACACTCGAAAAACACTACTCTCCTTCTGGGGCAGTCGGTTAAAAATAAGGTTGTTTGGTTCATCCATCCAATAATTCTTTAGCTTTCCTTATGTATTGCTTATGCTTTTTAGTATGTAACTAAATAATCTTACCATACCACTATTCCGTGTCTAATTCCGACCTCGCGGCGTCGATATTTTACGACGCGGCCTAATAAAATCAATTCCTCACAGTCACGAACTGGAGACCACACACTGGGATCACCCGAAGATGATCGAGCTGATGAACTCGCTCGCCGACCTCAACGAAGTACGATTCTCGGCTTACAGGACAGCATTGAAGTTGAGAACTGTGCAAAAAGCTCTTTGCAGTGAGTCGACTTCCATTATATTTTTGACAGTATTGTACATTTTAAATTATTTCACAGGATACCAGCGTAAAGTAGCAGCTCAATGCTGTGTTTCGTATGGTGAGTGTAGAGAACCGGAAACCCTTTCTACAGGAAACGAGGCATTCCATCTTAGTCCTCAGGGGCAACAACGCATCTGAATGTTGATTCTTAATTGAAGGTCAATTTGGCCACAGTATCTACTTATCATCGGGTGGACTGTGTGGTCGCTTGTCACCCTTATTCTATTCAAAGAAACTGTACTTTTACAATTCGTTTGAGAAGTTTTATAACAATTTTTGCACGTGGTAGAGCCACGGTACACATTGTGTTATTACTATATAACGTGAACGGTCTGAATCGACCGGGGAAAAAACCACACCGTTACCCGTTACTATTACAGCCTATTAAAGTCCGCTGCTGAACATAGACATCCCCCATAGATTGCCTCATGGAGGGGAATATTTGCCATAACTACCACATTTGTCACGCGTGTTAATTTCAAAATAAATTTTAATAAAATCGGCATAATACTTCTGTGTTTCATATAGCAAGGGATGAAACGCGCAGACATTTTTCTCTAGTACCAGTGTTCAGCAATATATCTCAGTCATCAGGGGTGCCAATGCGTCTGTATCTTGATATTTAATCGAGGATAGTTATAGCTGCTGGTACTAATTTGTCACCCTTGTACTTGTAAGTTTGAATGCTAAAATGATAGTTTTATATCAAATAACTGATTGCGTTTTTACATTGGTAATAGCTGAGTAACAATGCTGTATTATATTTATTTGACAAGGCAATCACAGAATATTTTTAACTTAATAGATTTTTGATGAGCTTAATCACTTTGTTGCTGCAACACTTTTAATGTGTTTGTGTTTATTTAAAAAGCTCGTACTCATCGTTGAGTTAATAAATTAATGGTTAAACACTCAAGCGCTACTCAATATAAAGATGTTAATTAGTGTCGTGGTGTCACAGTCACTTCGACTTAGAATGATAGAGACAGCACGAGACATAACGCTATCTAATTGAGTAGGTAGTGTCTGAGTATAAATCTACAACATCTTTTGAAAACTAATAAACCACTCTTTGATTTTCTAAGAAAATGAGTAAGGAATTATTTTAGATGAGTTTACATGGGTGCACTTTTATGCCCTATATTATATAATTTATATGTTTCTGTCATTTTCACTGATTCTGGGTGCTCTTGAATACATATTCTTTGATCCTGCCCACCCAAGTGCGGGAAGACTATGAATACGTATGAACTGATGAATATTCATGCAATTCCAGTGCACATGCTCCAGTTGCCGGCGGCGCTAGAGGCATTCGACTCGCACGGGCTTCGCGCACAAAATGATAGACTCATAGACATACCCGACATGATCACAGTCCTCACGTCTTTATATGAAGTACGTAAACACAACACAATACCTTGAAACAAAAAAAATAATTTTAATACAATCGTTATTTCATTTCAATTTGTTTAAGAATAACAAATAAATTTTTGTTTTAAGGATAAGGGCGAACATAATAAATCAATCATTTTTTTAATAAAATCAAAAATAAAATTATTAATTTCGGACCATAGGATTCATAGTCATTATATTTAAAGTAAGTATATTTGTATTATAAGTATATAAGCTCAGACTATTAAGTAGACAAAAGAAGAAAAATGGAAGATAGAAAGGGAAGTGAATAACAGGGTAAGCAACGGACGCCCTAGACAAGAGTTTATCAACCAAATTGGCGATATATTCAATATGGGCATGGTTAAGAATATCCTTCACAGACGAGCATGTATAATAAAGGAAGCGAGGGGGTGTGTCAGGACCGAGGCAAATGGAAGTCCGTAGTCTCTGCTACTCCTCTGAGGACATTTTGAAATATACGTCCAAATTAGCGGAGAAAGTTCAGAATAAGTAATACAGGCGAATGGTGAAGAAAAATTAAAAAAAAAAAACATTTCTCAAACATTCTGTCCATTTTATCTTTTAAATTCAGAATGCATTATTTTAACTGATTGTCATTCATAAATTTCTAACGCCTACTATCTTACTACGCACGCACACACTCGTAAGGGTCGCTCGGTCAGCAAAAACGTTGTGAATTAAATCGTACGCAGAGAAACGCGCGTACGCATAGTTGATGCCAATAAAATACTATTCTATTGCGCAGAGGGCGATCAATGAAGGAAGTGAGTTCATATTTTATTCATTTATTTATTGATCTCTTCACAACTTCTTACTGGCTAGTTAACAATAACAATGTAGTAAGGACCTAACGTTGTGAGAGACTGGTGCCTATGATAGGTTTTATAATAAAACCTGAGTTACAGGTCACCAGGCCCAATCAAAATCAAATATGATCACAATACACTGTCACGGCGGTGATGTGTATCTGTTGGCCAACTTAATGCCATGTAACATTCTATAGTAAAGTATGTATTGGCGGATGCAAAATATTTAAAACATGTAAATGCTACAAAACTGCAGTTTTATTGATATAAGTTTTGCTATAGGTGATTGCAGCAGAGAATCCGAGTCTGGTGAACGTGCCACTTTGCCTGGATTTGTCCATCAACTGGTTGCTGAACGTGTACGACAGTCAGCGCACGGGACAGATCCGAGTGCTCAGCTTCAAGGTCGGCCTTGTGCTGCTCTGCAAGGGGCACCTGGAGGAGAAGTACAGGTAAGACAGGAAATTTCGGAAAAAATTGACGTACTTACACTACTAAATTTGAGTAATTAACCAGTAACAAAACCGCTGTAGTAGGCTAATGGTAGGGTGCGGACCGCGACCTAAAAAGATCATGGCTTCAAATCCGCCGCTCGACTACTGTGGTGAACCACTCCTAACACAAGAGTTTCAGGCATGGATAAGTAGTTAAAGAGTATATTAGTAATGTTAGTAGCATTGCTAGTATTAAAAAAACCTTCTTAACCGCTTAACAGTCCACTATTCTTACATAAAAGAGAATACTTAATAGCAAAACTTTAATTGCAAGACGTGGCAGGTTTTATCTCAAGAAGGTGGACGAGCCTTAGCCTTAGAGCGGTGATATGTAGAGACGAGCGTGCTTGTGTGCATAACAGAAAGCAAGCCTTTACCAATAATCAAGCAAGTGTCTTTCATTTTCAACAAACGTAATTTATTAATTTTTTCGTGGTAGAGCTAAGCTGCAGCTATATTAATAGTTTTGTTGTAGCACGGATAGGTGATGAGGCTCTCACAGAATACCAGCGTACAATAGCAGCTCAACGCTGCTGTGTTTCGTATGGTGAGTGTAGAGAACCGAACATCCATTTTAGTGAAAACGAGGCATTCGATCTTAATCCTCACGGGTGACAACGAATCTGCATTTTGATCCGTAGTCGAGGATATAATATGTAAATGTCTATTGACCACAGCAACTACTTACCATCAGGTGGACTGTGTGTTTATTTGTCACCTTTATCCTATAAAAAAATTGAATCACAGTAGATCTTGATGACTTTGTATGAGCTTATATTGTTTTGTATATATTATACAACTTAGTGATCATTTGACCTAAGCCTACAAAACTAAGTTGAAGAGAAAAAGAACATTTTAAATCATTTTTTTTTTAATTTTCGTTAGTCCTAATTTTTGTTTAATGTTTCAGATACCTGTTCCGACTTATCGCAGACCCGTCGTGTCGAGTCGATCAGAGGAAGCTGGGATTGCTTCTTCACGACTGCATACAAGTAAGCATGAGTTTAATAATTGTATTTTAAAATTATATTTTTCATCAAAATAAATAAAGTCACTAAGGGCCGTGGAAATTCTGGTAACCCGAGTTCGATTAATTATCATAAAATCCTACTCTTCTGTGTACTGACTAGAACGCTGACTATATTTCATCGCTGTATGGCTACACTTAACCTTTGAGTTAGAAAAGAGCCAGCCCTCTTATCACTAGCAGCAACTACCAGTCGCGGATACAGTTCCTTTTGGAACTTCACCTCATGTCCCCCACGGGTCCCCCATGGATGCCCCACAGACCGCTAGTCTCTATTTGTCTTTGTTAGGGATTTTTACATTCCATTTTTTTAATAAATCCCTCGAGCACCCTCTCCGTAGGTCGCTGAATGATTTTTAAATTCCTTCAAATACAAAATGGAACATAATTTTAGAATGTTTGAAGTTAATAATATTCAGAATAACGCTAAGTAAGTTTTATAAGTATTTCTATCAAAGTGCTAAATGATATTTAATTTCATCGAACAGGTTCCTAGACAGCTTGGAGAGGTGGCTGCTTTCGGAGGGTCCAATATCGAACCCTCGGTTAGAAGCTGTTTCGAGCAAGCTTCTGCTACCACCAAAGAAGGAAGCAAAGGGGGCACTCTCGACAGAAAAGGAGGTAACTCATTTGATATTCTTTTAATATTTTTGGTTTTTGTTTATAAAACTGGATTTACAAGCGTAAAATAACTTAAAAACCAAAGCACTATATCATTAATATAATTAATTTGTCAACTGTAACTAGCATCAGTATGTATACATAAAGTAAAAACCTGTTATCGGCATTGAGCATTATTTAAGAATTTCTGTTTATATTTATAACATGCTGTTGGTTCTATAAAGAATAAAAAGGGCCTCGGTACTAAAGATAACATTTTAACAGCGACAGAGAAGGACAAGGACAAAGAGAAGGAGAAAGAAGAGAACTCAGAGAAGACAGAACGTGATGCAGATGGTCAAGTGCAGCAGATCGAGGCGTTCCACTTCCTGCAGTGGCTGCAGAAGGAGCCGCAGTCCATGGTGTGGTTGCCCGTGCTGCATCGCTTGGCTGCCGCAGAAAGTGCGAAACACCAGGCCAAGTGCAACATCTGCAAAGACTACCCCATCGTTGGATTCAGGTATTGCAAAATATAGTCAGGTAGTTTTAGATTCAGATTTAGTACTGTAGTGACGTTGTTAGAATACCCACTACCTCATATCGTGGCATAGGTAACGGATTTCGTGGAGAAAAAACCCGGTGCCGGCACCGTTAAACATTTTATGTTTCCCATGGAATAGAAAAGAATAGAATCACATTGTTTACGCCCGATTGTAGCAAGCTACAACTTGCAAGGCGCTAGTTCCGAGCGGGGAACCGGTTTAGCGTTGCGCGGGAGGGGGGCATTCGCTTGCGCCTACGGCGGTGCCCGGTAGTCTGTTAGAATCTTTGAGGGCTGCGGTCGTGCCGGTGGTGGTTGGGAAATTAGTCTAGAAGAATCTTTGGACACGACGACCGTCTCAATTAGAGGTCGCGAGTAACATAAGAATTGATACGTTGCATGACGACGGCCTCCATTATGTTGTTTTATTTCGTTAATATACGTGGCTTTTCCTTTGAGTTTTGAGTGACTATTTTGGCTTCGGTTGCTATTAATTTGCATCGACGCGTGGCTTGTGTTGCGTTTTAATATCGTGCTAAGGAATCTTGCTTTATCGCTTGAACGCTAAACTTTGTGATCCGGGTGAGATCGCGCTCGATTATAGTTTGTGCTAAGTGACGTTAAACTTTGAGTTCCGACAACAGCAGGCGCCCTCTAAAGTGATTGAGCCTTGTGGAGCGTGGCAACGAATGTGGTCCTGCTGAATGATTACATCGGTGACGTCAGGTTACATTACATACTTTCCCACACCACTTACACATATCATTTACTTGCCCCTGACGGCGCCTTGTGGTCGACCCTACGTCCGGAATTCAGTAAGTTTGTGTTTGCTTATACAGCCGTTATAAATTAAATATCCATAGGCTATTTGGGCCCTCCCCTCGGTTGCTCGTCGAGTTGTATTACTGATGGGCCCTAATCCTGTCGACCTTTGTCGGGGCAATTAAGGGCCGTAACACACATTCATTCAATATAGATTACAAAAATACTTATTAAAAGTTTTACCTCAGGTTCGGCAAAACCTCTGTCCTGGGATGAACTACGAAGAAACCCAGCGGGATTTTTTTAAACATTAATTCGTAATATAATACTTTATACAAATAAAAATAGAGTATGAAAAAGTTTTAAAACAGCATGGTAGCGATCACCTCATTCACAGGGGTTGTTATCAATCATGTACTCTTTAGTAGTGTAATAACCCTTATTAAACCATTATAACCTTCTTATAATTTTAAACTTTTTGATAGATGGATCCATAGACTACTGTATTAGTCTTTTTCATATTATGTATTAGTGGTATAGTAAACATCTAACCGTTATGTAACAAAAATTTAAAGAATTGTATTTCGGGTCAGTCGTAATTCTTCACTCAACTTAAGATAAAAAGAAACAGCAACGGATCAACAAAATAAAATTATAATATGTATGTTTTGTATTTTACAGCTATAAAACCAATTTTTCGGTATTTTTTTTATAATCTTCAATCAGGAATATCTAAAATAAACCATATAATATATTTGTTAACAGGTATCGTTGTCTCAAGTGCTTCAACTTTGACATGTGCCAGAAATGCTTCTTCAGCGGACGGAAGGCCAAGAACCACAAACTCACACATCCCATGCAGGAGTATTGCACTGCTGTAAGTGTTGTTGGGTAACTGCCCTCTTAAAGCTAGATACCTACATAATCTTTGATTTAGCCTTTAGGACCTTTAAGACTTACATTTACATAGATTTATAGATATGTATTTCATATGACTCGAACACTATTCACGTAATCATAAACATATAGTCATAAAATCTGCATCTATTACTAGTGATACCAGAAAATTTAAAATTAATTGTGTTTACTATAACTGGTACACATAGCAAAGTAAAATAATTTTTTATAGTTGGTCCTTTCATTCTGATAATATGGACTTGATTTAAAAATTGTGTTCATTTAAGGTAAAACGTTATAGTATAATTAATCATTTTGCCGCAATTCATATAATTTTCAAACAAAACGAATAGATAAACCTTCTTTTACTGTTGTATCGCTGTCAATGTCATTTTATTACAGACTACTTCCGGCGAAGATGTTAGAGATTTTACCCGAGCTCTCCGCAACAAGTTTAAGTCGGCGAGATATTTCAAGAAGCATCCACGAGTTGGATATTTGCCTGTCCAGACAGTTCTAGAAGGTAATGTAAAAATTGCTTATGCGATTTTGCTAGTAATTATATACAGGGTTATTTTGCAATATTCGCCAAAATTTGCAGACAAGGTTAAAAAAAATTGATTTAAAAAGTTCTCAGCCATTCTGTCCTTTTTATCTTTTAGATTTAGAAGTCGAGGTTATTCGTTATTTTACCTGATTGTCATACATTAATATCTAACGCCTACTATTTTACTACGCACACGCTACACACACATTCGTAAGGGTCGCTTGGTTGGAAAAAACGTTGTGAATTAAATCGCATACAGAGAAGCACTAGTAAGGGCGGTTGTTGCCCACAAATCACATTCGATTTGGGATAAGTTCAAATAAAAGTAAAAGCCTTATTTACTCGTGTTTTCAACAACTGCAAAAACGGTATATCATCTATACAAGTTAATAAATTTAAGTGTCTGTTTGTAATGTCAAAATAACAATTTTCAACTAAATTCATATGAAATTATAAACAAAACTTTTAACAAAAAAAATATTTGTAAATTTTTTGTCTATCTCTCTGTTTGTCCCGGCTGATCTCCGAAACGGCTGGACCGATTTTGACGGGACTTTCACTAACAGACAGCAGATTTTATTAGTAGTAACTTAGGCTCCTTTTATTTTGAAAAAAGAATTAGGGGTCCGTGAAAAAAAAATTAAAACCCATGAAAATGTGAATGAAATCAAATTCTGACTGTAACTTTTTTTACAGTCTATATACGTCCCAATTCCTGGACACATGCCTCCTCTCATTTCTAAGTGTTTTAGGTCAAGGAAAGTGTTGGTGAACTTTAGATGTCTTCGAAATATATTTTTCTTATTTCTCAGACATGCAGGTTTCCTCACGGTGTTTTCCTTCACCACCGAGCACGTGGTAAATCAGAACATAAAATTACAATTAACAATTTCATTGGTGTCGGCGGGGATTGAACATATAGTTGTATGTTATTAATGATAAAATATTGTTAATGTTATTATGTATAACAACGTTAATTATATCCAAGAAATTAGGTTTTTTACAAAAGTCTGACAGTGTTGCAGCACTGTCCGACTTTTTCATTACCTCACTGTGTTATTATAATCCTCACTATGTCATTTATATCTCTATGAGCGTTCGACTGTGTAAAATAACAGGTTTTTTTATTAATTGAAAAACTGCCGTGTTGTAAAATTCTACTTTTTATTTATTACAACATCATCATACCGTAAAACTATAACAATTTTTTAAATTGGACGTGTTTGTCATTGTGGTCATTAGTAAAATGTCGGTGTACCCCAAGGATCCATTCTTGATCCATTACAATTTTTGGACATTAGTGGTATAAGGGTAGGATGTAAATATAACAAATATAAAAAAATATGAGACAAATTTATTTACTTATAATAAAAATTATTGAAAACTGGATTACCTACCACAAACTGTAAATTTTATTCTTCCTATAGATTTTCTTATATACTTCTTTTACTTTTTTTTTAAATCGACTACTATCTTGGAATTTTAATTTATTTTAAATTAAATTGTCTTCCTAACGATAGTAAGTGAGATTGTCTTTACAGGTGACGCGCTGGAATCTCCAGCGCCGTCCCCACAGCACGCGTGCGGCGCGGGGGCTGGTGCGGGCGACGATATGCACTCGCGCCTCGTTATGTCCGCCGGCGCAGGTCGAGGGAGCGCGACCACCCGACACGCCCGACAGGTACGTCTATATCGCTCTGTCTCGTTCTTACTGCACGATTGGTCTGAGCTGTACGCTGGCAGGTGAGGGAGCGCGCCCCGACGCCCGAGGTAATCTATATCGCTTGTCTCGTTCTTACTGCGACATGCACGCGTGGTGCGCGCGCGGGGCGGGGCTGGGGCGCGAAGGTGTTCGGCACGACATGCACTTGCGCCTCGAGCTGTATGCGCCGCGCTGGGCGCAGGTCGAGCTGGGAGCGCGCCCACCCGACACGCCCGATAGGTACGTCTATATCACTCTGTCTCGTTCTCACTGGAAGACATGCGCGACTCGCTCGACTCGCGCCTCGAGCTGTACAAATAATAGGAATTAATTGTTATCTTTCTTCTTTGATATAATGGTTAACCACAAAGTAACGCCTGATTCTATTAATTAGGTTAAGACCACCCTTCCACTAAATGGGAGAGGCACTCAAGTCCAGCACTGAACTTTTACGTGCAAAAATAACCATTTTGGTGCGATGATCGCCGTTGCAGTGCTAGCAGAAGCTTGTTGCCTTAAGTATATTGTTTTTATTTTTGCAGTGATGAGGAACACCAGCTGATCGCCCAGTACTGCGCGTCCCTCAATGGCGGTGGCGACGCGGACGAGGCGCCGCGCTCGCCCGTGCAGGTCGTGTCCATCATACACCGCGAGCAGCGCCACGAGCTCGAGGCCATGATCCGGTACGTGGCATGGATTTTCGGCTGTATCGTTTAACTGCTATCATGTATAAATTTCACAACAACAAGCATTCAAAACCGAAACAATTATTTGTAAACCAAACAAATACACGTTTCGTGCGGGATCGGAATCCATGACCCCGTAGCAGCAACCGAACTTAGACATTGAGCTTTCAGGTCGTCAGTTCTTAACAAGTTCATATATTCTTAGACCTTAATTGTACCATCTTATCTTTGGCTCCAACTCATCTAACAGCCTCGTTATTGCAGAGAACTGGAGGAAGAGAACGCCAGCTTACAAGCAGAGTATGAGAGGCTGAAGGCCAAGCAGACGCCCGGCTCAACGCCCGAGGACCAGCACACCCTCGCTGACAATAGGAACGCGCCCGTTGACCAGGTAACAAAATCCTTTACACTTCAACTAACCAGTCTATGTATTTAAAAAAAAGGTTTTAAAGAAACGCTGGTTTGCCCCAGCATGACTACGGCCACTCAAGAACAACTGCAACACCAGCAGAATTGAAGGTGCTCTTCCGGCTGTTTAAGAAGGTGTAAGATATGGAGCCGTGGTAGCTCAGATGGTTAACACTCGCTGTAAATATAACAGAACGCGAGTAACCCGGGTTCGATCCCCGCCGGCACCAATGAAATTGTTAATTGCAATTTTAAGTGCTGATTTACCATGTGCTCGGCGGTGAAGGAAAACATCGTGAGGAAACCTGCATGTCTGAGGAATAAAAAAAATAATTCGAAGACATGTAAAGTTCGCCAACAAGCATTGCGGCAGCGCGGCGGACACTTCCTAGCCCTTTTTTTTTTTTTTTTTGCATGGGGAAATGCCTACGCATACCCGCCCCGCGGGGGGCAAGGACGGGTTATGTCGGACTCGCACCGACTAAAACCCCATGGTGTTCCACCTTTGTCGCATATTGGCAGGGCTACGGGAACGCTTTCGCACACATCCGCGGCCCTACCAGCGACTGCCACCCCATGGCAGCACCTCCTCGGGAGAGGAAAACTCCTCCCCGTTCTCCTTCTCAGGTAAGGCGCACCAGAACACATGGCGCGCCTTCCTCCACGGCCTCCAACTACGTCTGTGCAACAGACGCCCCCGCGTCCGATGCACAAAGGCCATGGGGCCAGGAAAAACGAGCACTTAGAAGTACTAGCCCTCCCGACCCCAGCGGCGGATCTGGTCCATGGCTCCGCCGCCAACCAAGATTCGGCTGCGGAGGGTAGAGAGAGCGGCGCCTCGCAATACCGACAATCCTCTCCCCCCGCAGCCCCACCACCACCGCATCAACGGTGCGGCCCCGTTTGAGTCGCGAAGGATAGGGCGAGTGGCGCATCGCCATACCAACACTCCTCTTCCTCCGCGACTCCACCTCGGCTGCAGCGGTAGAGGGTGCGCGAGTCCCCACTCGCTGCAGTCCACCAGCACACATCCGAAGCGGGCTCCCCAAGCCCACTCGGAGCGGCCACCTCAGGCCGGCCCTTCACCTCGGGCCAGCCACGTGGGTTCCTCTTTGTTCACCGTGGGAGACCAAGCCACGGCTACTAAGCCCCCCGCCACGACAAGGCGGGAACCCGTTCGGGAGGGAACACTTCCTAGTCCTAATACCCAGATCAGAAGTTAGGTGAGGCCTGTGCTCAGCAGTGGGACGTATATAGGCTGTAACTTTACTTTTACTTTAGGAAGATGTAAGCTCTTTTCTTAAAGACTCCTAAGTCATATCGGTCCAGAAAAATCGTCGATGGTAAACGGTTCGCGGTCGCATGAGGAAGAAAACTTAAAGTAAAACGCACAGTGGTGGACCGCCAAGCATTCAGATGGTGTGAATGTTTACGTGAGCTTTGTCGCGATGTGTATTTATGAAATTTGGTTTTGTAAGTAGAGCACTCTGCGTGCTAAATGTGAAATAAAGTACAAAGAGATGCAACATCGACCAATACTGTAATTGATACTTCCAGTTTTCAATTACTACGTGCCGAAAGTTGGCTCGCATGCAGATGCTACAAAGTAAAACAGGTTGTCTCGATCGAGGAAAGGCCACGCTCGCACAGAACACCAGCATGAATTAGCAGCATAATGCTACTGTATTTCGTTTGGTGAGTGGCGAGAACCGGAGACCATTTTATGGTAACGAAAAATTCCATTTTAGTCCTCAGGAGTGACCTGCGTTTTGATTTTTATGTTACGGTCGTAAACGTAAACATATATGTTTCCTATGGTAATTTAAAGCCGGATTTCCTGGCCTAATCGAACAACAAGATCACGTGACTGCCAAAATACAGTGCAATCTAACTTAGTAACCGTGGTCAAAGGGGCACTGTATTCTTCAAATCAGAACACAACAGTGGATTCATTGCTGCTTTAGAACAACTATTTGATTGGAAGTTTATCGAAGAAGATCTTTGGTGAAGAACGCTACTATTTAGTTTTTAAACTGGCTGTTAGTTAAATCTACAAGGCGATAATTTATGGTATTTCGTTATGATAATCTTAAGCTAGGATCAAAAGACAATTTACCACTACGGAGTCAATAAGCTTAATTTCTTAGCCATGATCGATTTTAAGGCAATTTATATGGTGTAATGCCACCACGCGGTTGTTAGGCTCAATCAGTTCAAAATTCCCCATTTACCATATGCCGAAGGTGCCTACCTCTTTGCCTTGATCGAGCGTGTGATTACCGTTATATGTGTGCGTGTGCTCAGGAGATGATGGCGGAGGCGCGGCTGCTGCGGCAGCACAAGGGGCGGCTGGAGGCGCGCATGCACATCCTGGAGGAGCACAACCGCCAGCTCGAGGCGCAGCTGCAGCGCCTGCGCACGCTGCTCGACGAGGTCTGTGACGACACACCGCACCACGCTGCACCACACTACACTGCACTACAGTACTTTGCACTACACTACATCACACTGCACTACACTACACTGCTCCACACTACACCACACTTACATTATAACACACTATAATACTCTACATTGTACCAAATTGCACTACAGTTCACTATACTACACTAAAGCGGTAAATTAAACATGAAAGTGACACTCAATAAGTATAATTTATGATCCATATTAACTAAAAAAATGTCTTTTTATTTCTATTTCTACAACACTACATTGCACCACATTGCACTGCACTCCACTGCACTTACATCACACTTATATCATAAATTCTCCCATGGCTCCTCAGTGGATTCATTATCTTTTTTTCAAATTTTTTTTCTTTCTATAAACCAAGGAAGTGTAATTATCTCTTATCTTTGTTTCTGGTACACCCTAAAATAAGAAGCATCGCTACGCGCAATTGATGTAATATTGCGGTCCTAAATATATAAATATCATTCATGACAGCCCTTCAGAACACTGCTGAACATAAACCTCACCCAAGGCATGTAGCAAAGCACGATTCTAAGCTACTTGCATCCATCGACTTCATGTATATTTTCCGGGTCGTCACATGACCTAGTTAGGGACGACAGATTGCCAGTACGAGGCTGCGATTCGGAATTTTTTCTTGCTAATTGGTTGTCAGTTTTTGAGCTAAATGACCGGCGATTAACATTAGATCTTCGGGACTACGGCGGTTACTCTGGCCATACTGTGGATACCTTTATTACAAATTTTATGAAGTAGAGAAATTCCGACCATAGCACAACGAATATTGATGATGATAATGTAATTATTCATAAAATAAATTTATTTTGTATTTTAAATTGGACATATATTTATGAACATACTGTATATTATAACCTCTAGACCAAATTTAAGTTATGGCGAGCAGTCTAAATGAAAGACTAGCTATGTGTATAAGACAGTATTATAGTGCTCGAGTGTTTTCAACTGCCACATAAGCACAGGTGCACTCTCTATTCCCTGACTCTCATAGTCCGACGGGTTCTCAGATCATATAAACAACAGGAGATATGCCCGGTAGTTAAAATGTATCGGAACCCGGTGTCTCCAGTTTGCCCCCGCCACTCGCCAACTACTACACATGCAGTTCATTAAATTGATAGATACGCAGTAGCGCACACACACGCATTCACATCTCTAACTCACAAAAGCCGGCAGCGGCTGCTTCACGAAACTATCGTGTGAGTGAGAGTATCAGTAAAACACTTATCCATTGTGCTATTAGACCAGCTGATTCACAGGTCGATTTGTACTAAGCAAGCAATGGTTTTTGTTCCTAATGAAAACATTTGATTTGGTTTTTCATCGTGTTTCTAGTACCACGAAGTAATGTTTTAATAAATTGAATAAGAAAAACATTAATATTTTAGTACTTACGTGTGAAATGAGATGCCATCTTTCATGTAATTCACAATACAGCTGTTATTTTTGCAACAATCACTGAACAACGCGGCATTTTGTCAAAAATCACGAGCAGTGAAGACGTCACAAGTTGACATTCGACTAATTACCGAAAGTGGCATCAGGCCGTCTTGCGGCCGGATGCGTTCGCAAGTGCCACGCCTCCTTGCCATATCTCCTGTTGTTTATATGATCTGAGGACGGGTTGGTAATCCGACACGACTGGAGAGAGATCAGGCGCAGAATCAACGGATTTACGTGTTTTCCGATACACGGGGGTGAAACACCGCCAACTTTTTGACTCCGGGCTGGTAGTGAAAATTTCTTGACAGAAATTTTTATTCTGACTCGTGACTCGAATCCGGGACCTCATGACTAGCAATCTCGTTTACGACCATTAAATCAACGGGACAGTCAGCTGTAACAAGTGTGTACATTTCATATTGAATCAGTGCAAAGGACTGTTTTAATATTGTTTATTTTTTGTTCTTTACTGCTATTTTTATTTTATTTTCACTATCATTTGTTGAATAGTGTTCTAGTAGCGTCGTGTTTGATAACCTAACTTAACAGTTACACACCGGTGACAAACTTTTTCATGACATATAATATGTGAATTTAGATGTAATACAAAAGGTTATTTGCAAACACATATTAAAATACACAACAGTGAAAAAACCTTTTTTGTCATATCTGTGAATATAGATGTATATATTCATTGATGTGAATATAGATGTATAGATGTAGCTGCGCGAGTAGGGCTCCACGTGGGGGTGGCGGTGCTTTGTTCTTTACCGCTAGCATTAGTTTAGTAATGTTTAGTGGGATCGTGTTTGCTAACGTGCGTGTTGCTACAGCCGGGCGCAGGGGGTGCGGCAGGCGCGGGCGCGGGGGGCGCGCGCGCCGGCACGCTGCAGACGCGCTCGGTGACGGCCTCGCAGCTGGCCACCGACTCGCCCGCCAAGATGCACAACGGGCTGTACCACGACGCGCACACCAGTCAGTATGCCTACCACCTTTATACACACCAACAAACATATCTTTTTGATTAGCCAGTTTCACTCCACTGCTAAACTCATCCTGTCCCATATTAGGAAGGATTCAATGGTTGTTTTATATTTTATTTAAAGATTCAAATAATAGATATTAGGTAAATACATCATTTAATAGATAGCACACCTTTACATAGTAGTACCAAAATGGAAGAGAGAAAAAATAGTATATAGTATTGCTAAGAAATATAAAAAAATATTGTTATTCCTTTATATGTTTGACATAATAATGTTTGATTTACGTTTTATTTAAGTATTTAAATAACATGTTTTTATAATCGCCCTCTTGGAACACTACAATTGACTTCCAAGTCAACAGAGTCTTAACACCTTTGACCTTACTACCCGTTTTTCGTTTCAATATTTTATAAAATAATATACCATCGTCAAAATCTCATTTGCATTTTATAAAATAAAATTCATATTATAAGGGAAATTTCCTCTTTAAGTACATTAAACTATATAAAACATGATAAAATATCCTATTTATACAACCGCCCCAGAGCGAAAGTAAATTCTTCGAATGTATGTATGTATTATGTATGTGTATTTATTTGACACGCTCTGTAGCCTAAATGGCTTGATTGGTCTTAACATATTGGGTGTAGTAAGAATCGACTTAGTTGTAAGAATAACTATATACATAAAACTTTATTTATATAAAAGTTATTGTAGTATATGGGTGGGACATTACACCGCTTGTACTACCTATAAATATCATCTTCATGTTATGTTAGATACAGCGTATAACTTTTCTCTTTACAGTAAACTTTCATGTAGTTGAGTTTTTTAGTTACTGTTTTGACCTTTGGACTTGTTTATGACAGTTTTTTTTTGTGTTATTGTTGTTATTGAAATGAAACGCAAACACAATTTAAATAATTCAACAACCCTTATTGTACTTCCAAAGAAAAATAGATTATTATATCGACTATCCGCCATTTTGACGTGTAATTACACTTAAGATGGCGGACGTGGCGAGCGGGAAACATTGGAGCGGCCACCGCCGCCGCCTCATAGCGTTCACTCGCTGATGCACTGCGCAGGTCAGCTTCATTAACCGTCGTGGATTGATTGTTAGTGTATCTACTACTGGAGGCAAATTTTCTATTTGAATGTGTTTCAAAATTCTGTTTATATACTTAGTATTAACCAAGTTCACGCAACTCCTACTCGTATATTACAAATATAATACAATTCTATCAGAAATAATTACCTTTTTAATTTATATAATAAAAAACCGTGTGGGCACGAGAATTCATCCTAAATTAAATTTTTTGCATTAACAATATGTATATTTTCTGTTTATTTTCAAAAGCTTTAAATATTTTTAGAGATGAATGTTATGTACGAAACTTTATAGGAAAAATTTATCCATAATAATTTAGCACATATTTTATTTCTTCTATAAAAAATAAACAAAGACAAGGAGTTATATGCACGCAAAATAAGATTAGAGACTAAGAATACAACTTCACTCTCTTAACGTTAAGTTTCATGGCTGGCTGCCATTTTGCTAACGCCTATCGTATACAATTTATCTAAGGATATTGTGGCACAGAATAAATAGTAGTACTACCACAAAATAAATAATATTACTATGATTATAGTCTGTTCGCCCTGATGCGGTCGCCTTTGAGTCGCGCCGCCTTAACACGTGCCACATTTTATCAAAGGCGCCGCAGCGGCATCAAAGATTGCCGCGTGTGGCATACACGCACAGGATAATTTGATATTTAAAAACGAAGTGCCGTAGTGAAAGGTTTTTGCTAATAAACTTATATTTACTATTTATATTCGTATTTTATTACAATAGCCATAAGAATAAAATAGTATTCAACTTTTTCTTAGAATAGAAAAGCATTTATTTAACAAACACAGTAAAAAAAAATAAAAGAAAAAAATGCACCTCCGGGTGTACTGACACTATCTTAGCGAACAGACAATAGAATAAATTACATTAACAACATAAAATAAATAATCGAAAGAAAAATATATTGTACGTATTTTAGTTTGTTTTCTTGCATAGTTAGAGACTAATTTGATGTAAAATGTTTTACAAGTAACTTTGACAGGTCTATGCATAACGTGTACAGTTAATTAGTTAACACAAATTGTAAAACACGTTACTAAAGACAAATTATTAATATTATTTATACCAAAACTAAAGATTATCCACCACGCTTCCAGCTGTAGATACATATTTGTTTAGATTGGTTTTTATCAGGTTTTCGCTTATGACCTAGCATTGATCGAATTTTTGGTATTTTTTGTTTCTTTAATTTGCGCATATAGAGCAGTGTCGACTTTTTGGTTTTAGTTCCTGTTTTTCTTTTCTTTTTCAGAAATTGCTAACATTAACAAGTATTTGACAGCTATGTCGATTCAAAATCAATTTTTATACCTATGCATCCTTAAAGGTTTGGATTTAATTAAATTCGTCAGATCGTTATCCAAGGCTTAGACAAATTATGGTTTTAAAGCCCATTTGCTTTTGATATGTTTTGAGTGTTTTACTGTGATGTGTTTTACTCATCAAATTTTGCATGAACGTTGCATGTTATTATTGTCGTTGGTCTCATTGTTATTAAATTTTTAATACATAAAGTTTTTCTCTTTTGCATTCTATCAGGACGCATACCTTGAGGTAATATCATGCCTTTTAAAATATTTTTACCAAATTTTAACAACCGATTACAGACATTTTTTATGTAATAATATTATTAAGTTTTAGAAGAAAATTAAAAAATGATCGTTTTATATTATTAACATGCAATTTACAAAATATCGTAAGTGACCAGAGAACGTAACTTCTGGTTCGTTTTGCGGTTCTTAGGTTTGAATGAATCCGTCTAGGTTGGTAAGAGAACTAAAACTATATACATACTTACATATATAGTTGTAGATGTCAGTCATTTCATTATAGATATCGGGGCTAATAGCGCATCTTGTTCTTAAGAAAGACCAAAGCACACTTTTGCGCAAGAAGCGAAATTGGTTTTAATTCTGAATATACTATTTTATCGTATTATGTTTTTGAATAGACTTTTTTATCTTAATATGCTATTTAGTCGGTCTACGTGGTAGAGCCACGCTGCAGCTATGTTATGGTTGTAGCACGAATGGGTCGGCTCGACCGGGGCAGGACCACGCTTTCACAGAATACCAGCGTTAAATAGCAGCTTGATGTTGCTGTGTTTCGTATGGTGAGTTTAGAGAACCGGAGACCCTTTTTACAGGAATCGATGCATTCCATCTTAGTCGTCAGGGATGACAACGCATTTGCATTTTGATTCCTAATCGTAATAAAATGTAGATGTGTGTGGGCCACAGCATCCACTTACCATCAGGTAGACTGTGTGCTAGTTTGTCACCCTAATTCTATTATTAAAAAAATATATCGTACAAGTGGTATTTTAAATACCTAATATGGGTAGGTTAGGACAGGTGAGTGATATTGCGATTTTACCTCGTACAAACACGTACCGTAAAAAAGAAATGTCTCGGGGGTATCTCGCTTCGAGCTGGAGCGGTCTCAGAGGCAGCTGAACTAGGTAAATGGCGCAAATATAAGTCTCTGAGAGATGACTACATATTTGTGCCATTTGCTGTAGAGACTATCGACTATCGGTCCGTGGAGTTCACGTGCCGTGAAGTTCCTAAAGGAAACGTATAGGCGCCTTGCCGTCGCTGCGGATGGAGAAAGGGCTAGTTCTTTACTCGATCAAAGGCTAAGTATAGCCATTCTACGAGGGAATGAAGCCAGCGCTCTTGGCACTATGCCGCGAGGAGTAATATTGTATTTAACCTTTAGTGACCATAATAAAAATTACGGTCTTTGTATTGTGTATATTTGAATGTTATGTAGGTATATAAAAGATCTAATAAAAAATAAAACATATGCCGCAATTAACAATGTCTAATAGTATAAAAAGTGGGTTATCGAAATCGAGCAGAAGATTATAACTGTAAAAGCCGACGTGTTGTTACCTTCAACGTTAATAAATAGTCTTATTAAAGTAATATGGTATATAAACAATATTATTTTTCCAGATGACCTTGGGCGCGCCGTTGAAGAATTAGTGTCAGTTATGACGGAGGACCAACCAAACCTAACGTCGAACGCACCTCCGGAATACACCAACGGAAACGCTGGAAAGCCGGCCGAAGAAAAAGAACAATAAATCCGGCAAGCGGTCGTCAATGTTCAACAAAACGAACTCGGTGCTGCGAAACGTGGGAGCATTGTTTGCCAGTACTTAAACTATATGACAACATGTCTCCCCGCTTCTAATTCGATTTTAACGCTCTGGCAACACTTTTCTGCTACACCAAAGAAATTTTGTTACAATGGTATTGCTTCCCAAACTTTGTTGGTATGATATGGCAACACTAGATCGTGTACGCTGAAGTAGAATTTTTACTTTATATCAACAGTGTAATAACAAAGTTTGCTTTACGATGTTTCATTAACATAATGAAACTTTAATACTAACTTTCGACTCATCACTAACAAACCTGCACGACTTGTACTTTATTACCTTATTATACAAAAGCACTTAACACTTCATTATCGTCTACTAATAGTGTCGAACCGGGCTTCTCTAACCGCACTTTGTGTAAGTTGCAACATGGCTGCACGTAGATTTAGCAAATAATTTAAGTATTTTTTAATGTTTGAAAATTGATGAATTTGATCTGTGTTCAATTTTCCTTATAAAGTGTTTTCCCGATTATTATGCCGTTTTTGAAGCGATAGGTCAGTATTCAGGTGTTGGTGGTTAAGTATGAATAGTATTTTTGAATTTCAGACTTCAATTTGACGCGCAGATTGAACAAACGTATGAGTTTTTATTTTATATCATATTATACAATCTAGCAGCCCCATTGCAGTGCCTAGAGGGATTGAAGCCTTTAAACTATGGCTATACGGGACTAACCACACAGTTGACTTAGTTCCTAATAGCTTAGGGTTCGAACAAACGATTATCGTATGCAACGCTTATTGTATAAATAAGGGCATGCCATTGTTGCAGTACGTGTCGTGATTGAGTCATTCTATTTATTCTACAACTTTATTTTTTCCATAACTTCTCCCTTTTTTTCTTGTGGCAATTCCAAAAGTGTTGACAGAGCGCAACTATTCAACGAAAAAGACAAAATGTAACGAGCATTTATACTTTTAAAAAATGTACCAAATTTGTCTATAAACTTACATTTATTAATCGTTTTAAGTACATATCTTGTTAGTACAATCTTCATTATACTCATATCACTTCGTGTAAATTGTCATATCATTTTTGCTGTGTATAAAATAACTGACACGTGTAAAAATATCACGAAAAACGAAACGCAAAACGATTTTTGTAGCTACAGATTAAAAATCGAATACGACAGCTTGATAATATAAGCTTTAATATCAAAATGTTAGCTTTAATTAAATACCCTGTTTTGAGACATTTTACGCAACCGGTAAACATTTCTTATCAAAGTTCCGATGGTGAATAATGGCCTATATATATTAGCGAAACGTATTTTTAAAATTAGATGAAATCTCCATTCTTCAGCATACACTATTATGCCATGTGAATATGGCCGTAGATATTAAAAGGGTTCGTTGAACAGTTTTGCGTGTAGTGCGTAGACGTAGCAAGATTTATCAAGCATGTTATTTATGTGCATGTTTGTATATGTTACATGTTATCATGTTATCAAGATATGTATAATTAGATTGAAAATATGAATAATCAAGCTTCTACGCGACGTAGTTAAGAGTTTCTGCGCTGCATAATTCCTGTCTTAATGGAGTTTCTTCCATTAAATTTCGCCAATCGCAACCGAAATAAATTTTCCTGAGATATTTTAAAAAAATATTCCATTGATAGAATCTGTCCACGATGAGGGCGATCCACGACTTTTTCCGCCACCAGGACGTCGCCATTTGGAAATGAGGTGAAATATTTGACAGCTTTCATAGCGGGGGGTTAATGTTTACATCTGAAAAATTTAAGTTATATTCTATATTACTTTAGAAATTGATGTACCAAACCACGAATATTCCTAAAAGTAAAAAAACCAAAAAAGATTAATAAAAAAATATACAAAAAGTTAAAGTGCAAACCATTTTTTGTTGTTTTGTGTATTTATACACTCTAGAAACCGACATTTAAAACATTAATTTAAAACGCAGTTTCTCAATTTAAATTACCTTGTGTAACAAATAACTTCTCTCATCTCTGCTCATTTCCAACTAGCGACATCTAGTGAGCGTAAAATTATTAGCATTCAATAAAAAAAATAAGACGTAAAAAATAAATTAAAATAGGATTTTATATTATAAGATATAAAATTTTGGAAAAGAAATATTTCAAACACTTTTTACATTTTTAAACCACATTTTACAATACTCAAACAAAGCTATAGATACCTATAATCAAAATAAACAGATTGTTAAATCTTAGCTTAATTGGCAAGACGTTAAGACGGGAATTATCCTGATAACCCTCATTTCGGGATGGAGAAAACAGTAGAAAATCTTCGTAGCAATTAAAAAAGCATATTATATTCCAAACATTTTACCTATCACCACGGCATACAACTTTCTTCTAGGGTAATATAATATTGAATGCGACGGTTTTCGCGTCGCCATTCCGTTTTCAGACATTTTGTAACGTGTCTACTTGTAAGATGTCTACCTTTTAGATAAGAATATATTCGAGAGATGACTTTTATACGAATGTTAAGGAAACTGTTGACGCTAACTATATTATTAAGGACTTCCGATTTAACCATATCAGGTTTATTATTTTACATTTTATTGACGTGCGCCGATATATTGTGTTGTATCGGTAATCGAAAGATTGTTGTTTTTTAGACTGGCAACATGTTGAATTTTTTGATGGCGGCTAATTGGTTTCTTGTTATAATTTTAACTTGGCTAATATAGATTTTAAGATGAAAAAGCACAATTTATTGTAACCTTAACGAATGAAATATTATTGTGAAATGTACACTAATATATTGTTATTAATATTATTTGTTTAAAGCGTAGAATGATTACTTAGTTTGTTTTATCAAAATTATTTTAAACAACTTATTGGCAACTATTATAATATTAAATATATACTTTCGCATTTATTTGTATATTTTACTGCGTTTATAATGTTTTAGAAGATAAATCCAAATAAACATTCAGCATAGTATGGTGTTTTTGTATTTCATTCCCTTTTCAATGATTTGACAATGTGCTGTTCACATTGGTTCCAGAACAGAATACACAGTAGAAACTATAGAGGTAGTAGGCAAACTTAAGCACATAGAGGCTATAACTTTAGTACTGATGTGTATGCTGGGCTTCTCTTATTTGAGAGAGAAAGAGAGAGAGAGATTTACTTTGATCACGCGCAGAGACTTAATTCACAAAATCGCATAACTTACGAATTAAAACCCACTTAAAACAATTATTCAAGCGACAATCCGTCGACGGCCAAATCCCCGCCAAAATTCTCATCTCGTCAATTTTGTTGAAAACCACAGATAATAATAAAGTAACTACAAAAAGAAGCGTACTGTCACACTTGCCTCATTGATGGATAAGTGTAACAGTCTTCCACCTCAATTAGTTTTAATTACCTCAAATTACAAAATGCTACTTAAAATGCTTGATCAAACATATAACCACTTAATAAATGACATTATGAAACTAAATCCTCTATATTAAATCCTTACAGAGTAGAAGTATTTAAATGTCGATTATAGTTTTAATTTATGTCACAATTGCCCCAGGTCACATTATAACAAAATAATTGGCCCGTACGTTTTAATTTTAAAGAAATATAACGTACGATATAAGTTATTAGCATCTAAATATATTATAGCTGCAAGGACCACGCTCTCACAGAATACCAGCGTAAAGTAGTAGCTTAATGCTGCTGTGTTTCGTATGGTGAGTGTAGAGAATCGGATACCCTTTTTACTGGAAACGAGGCATTCCATCTTAGTCCTCGCCTAACCTAACAGGTGACAACGCATCTGCATTTTGATTTGTAATCAAGGATAGATGTAGATGTCTATGGGCCGCAACAACCACTTACCATCAGGTGGACTGTGTGCTCGTTTGTCACCTTATCCTATAAAATAAAAAAATAAACGAAGAAAAAAGAATACAAAGAAAAAGAAGAGGATGGATGCTACAAATGCACAGGAAACGTACTCTGTAAATCTATTTATGTTTATTAATTTAAACTCTTGTCTTACTCTTGTGTAGAAGAAAGCGTAGCTTAAGTGTCAGTGAGCGGCAACCTTACGGCATTTCAATAGGTGAGCGTCGCGTTTATTTTTCAGTAATCCCCTATGCCTGAGGTACAGGAAAAGGGGAACATCTGTCCTTGGTAACGGTTTTATAAATAATTTTTGGTATACTTTTTTCCTTTAGTATTGTTACGAACTTGAGGTTCGTGACAATAAAAATTGCCGATAAAATTACCTAAATTAACACTTTAATTTACTTTACACAAATTAAAACTTAAAACACTAATAATTAAACACACTAATTCACTTTATTCCGCTCCGAAGCTTCGCTTGTCTCGCCAAATCCAATACTGCCCCGATCGCGTATTGCAGCGCCTATATATACAAATTAGCAATGAAGCATCCGGAATATTCAAGTAAATGCGCGCAAAGCGACGAGTGTTCGAGTGTAGATTTTCTAGAAACTTAGTTCTTCGGTTTGAGACTAGATGGCGCTAGTGCCGTCGACTTGAGCGCGTAACACTGCCCCCTCCTAAGACTCATTATGCTCGTCCCTAGCATTATCGGCCCCATAATAACGCGCCAAGCGATCCACATGTACGATCTTAGGAGTCCCTCTTGCGCCTTTCTGTAACGGCTCCGCAATGTCAAGGGCTGTCCTATCCCGTGGTGCACCAACATTGTACAATTTCGGTGCTCCTCTACTACGTGTCTGAGGTCCCCGCACGGCCGCACAACTTGTACATGTACGACACCAAGCCTCGACATCGTCACGATAATGGACCCAGTAAAACTGTTCTCGGACCTTCAGCAGAGTTCTTTTAACTCCCAGATGGACTCTTAAGCGACCATTATGGCACAGCTGTAGAACATTCGGCACTTTAGCTTTAGGGACAACCATTTGCAAACGACAGCTGTCTCCTCGACCATTGTC